AAGATTAACAATCAACTAACGTGTTAAAGTTATCAAAGCGTATTACAAAATTGGATGTTCAAATTTATAAATATACAGCCCAATGATTCCACTAACAAAAAATACCAGACAGTGACCTTTTGTGGATGCAGTGGCTTTTCAACAATCTTCCTTGGATTTTCATCAGCCCAATTGCGATAATTCTGCTTATTAACAAATCCACCAAGATAAAAATGGGCTTTGTCCCTAAAGAGGATTTTTTGTGAAAAATCTTCATTGGCTTGTCTTTGCTCATGCACCCAATTGACGAATGTCCAGCACTCCAAATGGTCAGCAGGTTTCAGTTCTTGTGTCAATTGAATTTTGTAAGCGTGTAGAGACAAATCTTTTGTCAAAATTCGATGTAACGGTGTTGTGGAAAGGTTCAGTTTCTGTGTGTGATGACAAATAGAGGTGTCTGGATTTTTGGCTACATTCTCGTGCACTACAGCTGTTTTCAGCTGAATGGCATCAACGAGTACAAGATGGCATTTTCACATCTGCCACCAAGCCATTTTGTTTGAATTTATGAACAATTTTTCCACTTGCACTCTTGGTTGTTCTATTATGTTGACCAAAAATTACGAAGAGGGCAAAATGTGTTTCTGTTTGAAAATCCATTTTCATAACAGGCTTTGATAACTTTAGCATGTAGTTTGATTGTTAATCTTTCCATGGTTGAAATTGCCAAAGACTTAAGTTGTTAAACCTGAACGAAAAAGAAAAAAAATCATCAGACACTTAAATTTAATTCACATTTAAAATCAGTCCAAGTTACTGGAACACCCTAGATAAGAATGTGTATCAAAAACAAATACTGAATTTCATATTAAAAATGTTGTAAAAACGGCCCTAGCTTGAGAACCCCTTGTCTATTATTAATGAAATTTGGTGCTGTACTCAGCAGTGGTTCATGGTACAATATGATCATGAACTGGTTGGGGTAATATATATCGTTTAAGCTGTATGTCAGGAATACACATACAATATTACAGTTTTAGAATTATATAGATGTAGGGGGAAGGGGCAAAAGTAAAAACATAATTTAAAAATGACAGTGATCAAAACAGAAAAGCATTAGGAATCTAAATGAAGTCAGTCATGCTGGACGTCTGGACAAATTGGATACCAGAAATTAAAAATTTAAACTTAAATTTTAATACCCCTACATCTTCAGTGTTATTATTATAACTGACATTTTGTTATATTTTCACCCCTTTGCACACATATATATATATACTATTTCAATTCATCTCAAGAAAGGTGATAATGCCACTAACATGCAATAGGATACTAGGAATGAAAGAGAATAAAAAGACTTTAGAACGTACTGTAAACCAATTCCTAAACAGCAAACAAGGGATAAACCTCTGCTCCTATTCAAAAGACTGGGGATTAGTCATATATAATTCAATCAATAAATGCACAATTTTTTTTCCTATTCTGTCATTCAATCATGCATATACATATTTATTACTATAAGAGACAAGCTATTTGAATGAAGACATTGAAAAACTTCATTTGGCCATGAATATGTAAATTTGGTTTTTGGATCCTAGAAGTGGAATAGAAAATATAATGATTCCTTTAGTACTGAAACAATCATAGTCATATTCTGTAATGCCCAGAAATTATTAAAACCACTACTGTCAAAACTATTCACACTTCACAAGAAGACAGTTTCTCTCCAGTGTGTGTTTGCATGTGTCTTTTTAAGTGTGATCTTAGTGAAAATGCAGATCCACAAACTTCACAAGAATATGGTTTCTCACCAGTATGTGTAATCCTGTGTATTTTTAAAGATGAAGCATCTGGAAATGCAGATTTGCACACTTCACAGGAATATGGTTTTTCTCCAGTATGTGTTCTCATGTGTCTTTTTAAGTGTGGTCTTTGTGAAAATGCAGATCCACACATGTTACAAGCATATGGTTTCTCTCCAGTATGTGTTCGCATGTGCTGGGTCAAAGTTGATGTTTCTGAAAATGCAGAGCCACAAACTTCACAAGTATATGGCTTTTCTCCAGTATGTGTCCGCATGTGTCTCTTTACTTGTGATCTAGTTAAAAATGCAGATCCACACACTTCGCATGAATAGGGTTTCTCCCCACTATGTGTTTGCTGATGTCTTTTCAAAGATGAAGTGTCTGAAAATACAGAGCCACACATTTCACAAGAATATGGCATTTCACTAGCATGTGTTTGCATGTGAGTTTTCAATTGTGATTTACATATAAACACCAATCCACATATTTCACATGAAGTGGATTTGTCTTCACTATGTGTTTGACAATGTATTTTCAAAGATAACATGTCTGAAAATACAGAATCACATCCTTCACAAGCGTGTGCTTTCTCTCCAGTGTGTGTTTCCATGTGTCTTTTTAACTGCGTTCTATGTGAAAATGCGCATCCACACACATCACAAGTATATGGTTTCTCTCCAGTATGTGTATGCATGTGCACTTTCAAGGACGAAGTACGGAAAAAAGCAGACCCACATACTTCACAAGAATAAGGTTTCTCTCCAGTATGTGTTTGCAAATGGTGTTTCAGAGATGAAAGCTCTGAAAAGGCAGAGTTACACACTTTACAAGGATATGGTTTCTCTCCAGTATGTGTTCTCATGTGTCTTCCTAAATTTGATGGGTGTGAAAATGCAGATCCACATACTTCACAAGAATAAGGTTTCTCACCTGTATGTGATATTCGATGTAGATTCAGATAAGAAGCATTTGAAAATGCAGAGCCACACACTTCACAAGTATATGGTTTTTCTCCAGTGTGTGTTCGCATGTGTCTCTTTACATGTGATCTTTGTGAAAATGCAAATCCACAAACATCACAAGCATATGGCTTCTCTCCAGTGTGTCTTTGCATGTGTTGTTTCAAAGTTGAAGTTTCTGAGAATGCAGCACCACACACCTCACATGTATATGGTTTTTCTCCTGTGTGTGTTCGCATATGTCTTTTCACTTGTGATCTCGACAGAAATGCAGATCCACATACTTCACATGCATAAGGTTTCTCTCCATTATGTGTTTGCCTATGTCTTTTCAAATATGATGGGTCTGAAAATATAGAACCACACACTTCACAAGCATATGATGTTGCTCCAGTATGTTTCACTGTATGTCTTTGTAATTCTGTGCTTTTTGAAAATGCACATCCACAAACATTACAAGTATATGGCTTTTCTGCAGTATGAGTTCGCATGTGTACTTTCAGGGATGACCGACGTACAAATGAAGACCCACATACTTCACACGAATAGGGTTTCTCTCCACCATGTGCTCGCCAGTGATGACTTTTCAAAGATGAAGTGTCTGAAAATGCAGAGCCACACAATTTGCAAGTATGTGGTTTCTCTCCAGTATGTATTCGCATGTGTCTTTTTAAGTTTGATCTTAATGAAAATGCAGATCCACATACATTACAAGAATGTGGTTTTGTTCCACTGTGTGTTTGCCAATGTCTTTTCAATGATGAAGTGTTTGAAAAAGAAGAACCACACATGTCACAAGAATGTGGTTTTTCTCCAGTATGTATTCGCATGTGTCTGTTTAAGTTTGATTTTTGTGAAAATGTAGATTCACACACATTACAGAAATATGGTTTTTCGCCAGCATCTCTCATTGTGGATATTTTCAAAGATGAAGTATCTGAAAATTCAGAGCCAGTCATTTTTAGGGTAAATGTTTCTTGTTCAGTGTGTGTTCCCATCTTTTTAAATGTGCATTTTGTGAAAATACACATCCATGCACAAATTAATAGCGTTTACCACTAGTATATATTCAAATACAAATGATAAAAATGAAGATCCATACATTTCACAAGTATATGCTTTTTTCTGTGTTCACATGCATCCGCTTTAAATGAAATTACCATGAAAATGCTGATCCACACATTTTAGAAGAATTTTTTTTGTATTTTTTATGTGCATTTTAATATGTTATGTAAAAATATAGACCATATGCAAATATGCAGTTCCTCATTTTATATTTCAAAGATATATTGAAAAAAAAACACACCCAGATTTCTTGTTCATATGCTTATATACTTACGTCACAAAACTTGACTTTTGAGGTTTAAAAAAGAAAGCAAAAAAGCTACATTCCTCACAATACATTTTTTTTGTCTGTGGGCTCTCTTACCTCTCTTTTTAATGTTAATTTTGATACCCCCTCCCCCACTTTCTATTGTGAGGTCTTTGTAAAATATCCATCTATTCAAACAGACATCACTTTTTTTTCCCCATGATCCTAAGGATAAATTTCATTTTCCAGTCAGAACATCTGCAAAAAAAAATAAAAAATATATATTTACAATATTTATGAAAACTTATGTTATTTTTTGACAATGCTTATATATTTACGCCATTACAATGCATATATACTTATGTCATGAAACTGGAAGTTGAAAGTGTCTCTGAATAATTGGTGTTTCCCTAATCTCATCAGATGAGCTCCATGTTTAGATATGATAGCTGGTAATTTCACTGTAAAAATTTATTGTTGGTCATTTTTTTCATAAAAATGTATTGCTTGTATTTTTACTATAAAAATGTATTTTTGTACTTTCCTAGGTTTTTATTTTAGATTGGGTGTTCACTATTTGTCCATAGCTGGGATCCTAACAGGTATTACCACCCTGAAAATTTCTTAAGTGAGCTTACCCTGTTGTTATTTTAAGTTTATTTATATGTTTTAATCAAGGACATGCAAACATTTTTGGTTTGTTGATTGTTTTTGTATAGTGGCATATCAAAATCTATGGGTTGTTTTATTTTTGAAGATAATGATGGTTTAGTGATACTAGTCTTACTAATCAATCCATAGCTGAGAGGTAGAAGAGATGGATTCATAGCTTTCTAAAAAGTATTTGCATGTAGGTGAATATAATGAAGTGAATGGAAATTGAAACTCAGCTCTCTGATTAACAATTTCGAGCCATTATCCATTACACCACCCACACATCCAAACTTACAGCACCTGGTATTCCCAAATGGTCACCCATCTAGGTACTGACCAGGCTCAATGTTGCTTAAATTTGACAGTTATATGGGAATCAGTGTTTCAGCGTGATGTGGCCATAAGTTGCAAACATTTGTAACTGAAACAACAGATGAATAATGATAACTCTTCATGCCAGGAATTCAGACAGAAATTATCAAATCAGTATGGACTTGATGCATTACACCGACGAAGGCAGTCAGAAAAGCTGCTACATCAAAAATTGGCATGGATGTCGAACCACCTGAAATTTCTACACAGCTGTAGAAACCTGATGTTACTTCCATCAGGCTTATCAATCAAGATATCAGTTAGTTCCTGGAGAGCAAAAAGGGTAGCAGAAAGAGCAAAAGCACATCATTGTGAGAGAAAGGATTATCCATAACCACTAGAGAAAACGTCAGAGGTAGAACAAGAACAGACCAGAACATAACTTAGCAAAATAATGCTTGAATCAAATACAGAATCCAACAAGATCTAAAGAAGTCATACGATCAAGAATTTGAAATGATCAAAGCTCACCAAATACAGAAACTAGCACAGCTAAAAGAACAGAGTCAGAGCAGCAACAAGGCCCACTATAGTTTGGTTAGAGCAGTCGTCATTATCAGCAATTGGCAGTTGAGTGCCTTTGAACAATTGGAGTTTCACTACTCTCATCAGATGAGTTCCATACATGATAGCTCCAGTGGACGAAGTTGCCTTGAAGATGAAAGTGAAACAAGCACTGGAAAAAAACCAAGCTATCTACATCAATCACAAAGAAAGAAAGAAAGAAAGATTGGCAATCAACACTTTACAGAGTGACACTAATATCATTATACTGACAAAGGCAATGCTACAATGGTGTTGGAATACTCAAAAAAATTGGAAAAACTAGTGGGGGATGATAACTAAAGCAAAGTGAAAAAGGATCCTATGCTAAAACTGCAAGGAAGCTCTCATAGATCCTAAATAAGTACCACTTCACACTAAATAAGTATAGACAGTTGACTCAATGTTACAACCAGGCTACCCCAAAGTTGACATTCCATTGAGACCTATAATCAGCTACAGGAGTTCATCATGAAACCTACTGAGTAGATTTCTAATGGATTTAGCCAGTCCCCTGGTAGGGAAGTCCTTGTCATTTGTTAGGAACTCAGAAAACTTGGTGGAATTGATCCAAAGTGCTCACAATCCATAGCAGTTGAATGGTAAGTTTGGATGTGGGGAAACTTCACCATAGTTTCTATGAATCAGGCCCTGACAGTGGCCTGAAACCAACTGGAATCAGACTTCTCAACTTTGAAATTGTATTAACATTCCAATAGATAGACTGTCAGTATTCCCATCAGATTATGTACAGACACCATTCTTCCAACTGGAGTCTGACATATACTAACAGGAGGAAGGCTTGGCTATGGGTTCATTATTGTCACCAGTGATGGCAAACATATACATGGAATACTTCAAAGAAATGACTTTAGAAACAGCACCACTGAAGCCAACAGTATGGCTGAGATATGTAGAAAACATCTTTATACTCTGGCCTCACCAGGAAGCAGTACAAATACTGCTGGACTATGTGAACTTCAATCCAGTTTTTAATGGTTGAAAATAATAATCAGCCTTTGTGGATATACTAATAACTCACAGCGTCCTGGGTATGAGGGTAAACAACATCCGTGTCCTGGGTATGGCGATAAACTACATCAAGGCCTCAGATAATGTTTTCGGAAAAATAATGTTGCCAGCTATACGTTTTTGAAACAATAATGTTGCCAGCTATCCGTTTTTGGAACCATAATGTTGCCAGCTATGCGTTTTTGAAACAATAATGTTGCCAGCTATGCGTTTTTGAAACAATAATGTTGCTAGCTGTACGTTTTTGAAACTATAATGTTGCCAGCTATACGTTTTTTGTAAAAAATAATGTTGCCAGCTGTACGTTTTTGAAACAATAATGATGCCAGCTATACGTTTTTTTTTAAACCATAATGTTGCCAACTATACGTTTTTGAAACAATAATGTTGCCAGCTATACGTTTTTTTTTAAACCATAATGTTGCCAACTATACGTTTTTTTTTAAACCATAATGTTGCCAACTATACGTTTTTGAAACAATAATGTTGCCAGCTGTGTTTTTGAAACGATAATGTTGCCAGCTATACGTTTTTGAAACCATAATGATGCTAGCTAAGCGTTTTTGACTTTTAAAGTCACTCAAAATCATCTTAGGCATAAAGTGACCACTAAGGTTGAGATGCCGTTAAACAAAACAATCAACAATCAAATGGAAATTCTTGACTTAAACAAAAAATATCTAGGATTATTTTGCAGTGTGCAAGCAAATAAGCTCTAGCTTGCTAAAAATGTTCCATACAAAATAGGCATTTAAAATTCATATATTTGGCATATATATATATAAACTGGATTTGGCATTAAATAACCCACAGTGGTTCATATGCCATAAAACCCAAACAAACAATTCTATAACACGAAGAACATGAAGAAATTATTTGCAAAAACTGAACCAAAAAATATATTGGATTTTCTAAAAAGAATTGGTCTCTTATCAAAGATATAGACTGATGTATAAACAACATATCCTACCTTTTAGCATTTTGCAAATAAATTGTCCTTATCAAATGGAAATTCTTGACTTAAGCAAAAAATACCTAGGATTACTTTGCAGTGTGCAAGCAAATAAGCTCTAGCTTGCTAAAAATGTTCCATACAAAATAGGCATTTAAAATTCATATAAACTGGAAATGGCATTAAATAACCCAAAGTGGTTGATATGCCATAAAACCCAAACAAACATAATAACTCACATAAAGAATCTGTGAAAAATATCTGTATATCACAATCAAACCTTTGCAGGGCAAGACCTCAACTTCAGTTCCCACCATCCATACAGTGTAAAGAAAAGGATCATCCAAAGCCTACAACACTGCAAAAATTATATATGGTGGCCCAGACATATACTGACAAGAAATAATCAGCATCAAGCATATCCTTCAGGATAACAACTACCCTGCAACTGTTTGTACTCTGTTCATTGTAGTTGTGGCAAAGAATATAAAGTTGAAACTAGCTGGCCTCTAAAAGTAAGGCTGGAGGAATACAGAAAAGCTGTAGTGAGGGAAGAGACAATGAAATCAGGCATGACTGATCATGTACGGAGAGAAAAAGGATAGTTATCTGCCCTTGTAGAATGAAGTGAAAATTCTGAACAAGGAAAGATACTGTAGATTCAGATGTCTAAAAGAATCAGTGCATATTCTAGGCTAGGAGGACCTCCTTAGTAGGCCTAGCATAGAAATAAATATGTTATGGGAACCATTAATAAATATGTTATGGGAGGTGCTAATAAAGAAAGACAAATGACAGTAGGTCTTCAATTGCAGCAGCAGCTGTAACAAAATTTTTCAACCAATTATTGAAATTTAACAAGACTTGTAGCTACTGTTTCAGTGATTGTATTTATTAAACGTTTTTGCTGTACAAAAAACAAATATTAAATAAAATTAAAATTAGCAGAAATACTTATTTTTCAATATAAGGTCAATGCTATGCCATAAATCAGAAAATTTTAAACTGCAAGATAAACCAAAGCCTTTTTTATTTTTCTAGTTTATTAGATGTAGGGTGTGTAAAAGGAAAAAGGCATGCTAAAATATTGAGTTTTTTTATAAAGATTTTCAAAAATTTAATCAAATTTTTAACACTTAAATGGCATGGAAAAAGCTGAATAAACATTAATGTCAAATATGTAAAAATTGAGAAAATTAATTTTTTCAAATGGAGAAATTATTTAAACTTCAATTATCTAGAGCAGCAATAGATTTTGTATTTAATAATCTGACAGATTTTATCACTTTAAATGTTATTTTTAGTGGATACTCGTATTTAAGTTTATTTATTAAACAGTATATTTATTGTTGTCTACAGGCCTGATTACTTGAGAAATCCTATTAAAGAAAAACTATTTCTTCTGGACATCAGGAATCATCATTATAGATCCAATATGCTCTAGATTATTGACTGAGCTACAGAGAACTTAGCTGATCAGGCAAGGCTGAATAGTGCCTTTAAGAAAAATAATAATATCAATTTTTTTTCATTATAAAAATAAAGGAAAAAAAGGGAAATAAAACAAATTTTAGGTGCAAAATTTAATTTTTTTAACAATATAATATTTGTTGCACAATAGAACTGCACATTCTTTGTACCAAATTATTACCATTTTTACCTCTTTTGTCTTTCAGAAGTATTCATGCACAAATAGAATTTTCCTTGGTTAATTCTAGCAGACAGATACTCATAGAAATAAATCCTATTAAACAGTAACTTAATAAATCCTGAAGTTATGAGTTGCTTACATTCAAATCATGAATTAATGAAGCCTGTGTAGCTGGAAAAATTTTAAATCATCAATTGATGACATCTGTTGATATCCAGTGAATCATCACCTGACCTGTTTAAGTGTTAAAAATATTAGTAAATATGAACTTAAATACCTACAATAAGACAGTGTCAAAAGGACGTTTTTTTCCCCTATATAACTGTTTTTTTTTAAAATCTCTTCACTCTTCAGCAATCTTTGGTTTTTAAAAAGCAATGATTATAATTAGAATAAAACATAACCAAAGTGAATTTATACATTATTTTTGTTCTTGAGAATTTCCAACAAAAATATTAAACACTATTTATTTATTAGATTATTTATTTATTTTATATTTACAACATTCTAAAAACTAACACAATTAGAACTAATGCAATGCAATATTTATAAAGAAATAAATGTGAAAAAAAATTTTTATTCATAAATTTATAAACATTTACTAAATTATTAAAATATGTGAAATATATAAAGGAAATCCTTATTTATTATGTAAAGTTTAAATCAATTGGAAATTAGCCGATATTTTGCCAATGTGTAATGGATAATGTCTCAGAGTTGTTACTTGGGTAGCCAAGTTCCAATTCCTGTTGGGTTCATTATATCGACTTATGTCCAAATACCCTTGGGAAAGATATGAATTTGCCGCTTCTCCTTCCCAGCTATGGGTTAATTAGTAAGACTTGCATCACTA